TGATTCATATTTGAAATTTGAAAAAAAGAAGAAGTGATAATCTTGGATATGGACCAGTTCACTATGAGTGGCTTTTTTTTTTTTTTTTTTTTTTATTATTCCTTCCTGCTTTAACGGATTACTCATAATACCTGTTTTCATAATCTATCATTCTGTGAGATTTTGTTTGCTATGTATAAATGGCTCAGTGCATTGCTTTCCTTCAGAGTAATTCTGTCTACATCTGTTACATTCCTGTGAGACTGAAACTCAATATACAGATACTGGACAGAAAACTAAGGCAACTCAAAACTTAATTGGCTTGGATTAAGCACAAAATGATGCTGATTGATCAGCTGCTCTGTATATTTGGCTACTGAACAGGAACATTCCTTTTTTTTCATCAGTTCCCATCTGAATAATTGGAGGAATAACATCCCAAATAGTGTTTCAAATTAGGAACAGCCAAAAGAAATAAGGCACAACAGTTTAAATACCAGCTTCTGTCATCAACAGAAGTATGGTTGATCATGGAAGCTCCATCCTTTTTTTTTTTTGTGAGAAGTACAGTAAAATTTTGATTCTCCAGTCCAGGCCTTCATGTGGTAGACTTAATTGGATTGTACCCCCAAACATAGGAGAAAAGCCCACACTTTCCAAAGCAGCCAGAATAATTGTCATTTGCCTTAAATGGTGCAGCTGATATAAACGATCTATGATGACTTGATGGAATATCTAATATGTCAATTAACGAACTGATATTATCGGATGCCTGACGTCCTTTCATGAAACCAGATTGTGTGCGAAAGATTACTGAAGTAATGCATTTTGAAAACTTTATGCCAAGGCTGCTGTCAACATTTTAGCAAGTATATTTAGAGCTAAATTTAGGATCTGGAGAAGAACTCTTGTCACTTTTCATTGATTTAATAGAATTAATTACTGAAGAGAATACCATGCTGTTAAAGAGACATCTCAGTCACAGTAATCTTTGGATGTTTTATCTAAAAAAAATTTTAGTTTATTCCATGAAGATGCTTGAATCTAGATTATACAGTTGACTATAAAAGTATAAAGCATTACTAGTTTTTTTATTGCTTTTATCCTGAAAAATCATTTATTGCAGGAGTATCATTTGTTGGTATAGTTTCAACCTAGAAGGCTATTTATTAATCAAATTTGTATACTGCCATAATTCACAAGCACTCACACACTCTCACACATCCTCCACAACCTGTACTTCTTATGCACCCTTTGTCTGTTTTTTGTAGATCTTTACTTATTATTTCCCTCTATCCATCATGAATTAATTTATTTGGTAGGTTTGTCAATCACAAATCAATACAAAATAATAAAAATTCTATAAGAATTACAGTGTGCCTAATAAGGCATTTCTGAGTTTAGGATATTAAAAATACAGTCAACATTTTATTAAAAACTGATATTCTACTAATTCTTCACCAGACAAACCCAAATGCTTAAAACCAGGATGTAATGTCACATAACTATAGTTTGTAGACCTGAAATGCAAATTAATTAAAACAACAACAAAAACTTAAACATATAGAAACAATTTTGTTGAAAATAGGTAAAGCAAATATTCTTCGTACTATACTGTACCATGCATGACAAGGCTGACCTTGGCAATAACACACAATTATTTGAATGTAAAGTATGTTATTTGAGTTCTATGAACTGGTACTTACCTTCCAGATTCAAAAGTGAACCATGTTGAATCACGCCCATATCTTCTCAAAGAACTGAGAGGCCACATGACCAGTTTAACCTTAGCATTATGGATATCCCAGAGATAAATGTTTTCATGTGTGATCTGCATCGTACATTCACCGTAGATATCTAAATTTGGTGTAGGCATAAGATATACATTGAATCGTTCTGGAAGACAGAAACAGAAACAATACAATCGTAGTAAAAGGTGTGAACTGGCTTGAATTATGACCACAATTTCCATTTTGCCTATTGACTGAAGCATTATTAAAATAAACTTATTTAAAGGAGGGCATAATGGATTTAGAGGACAGGGTTGTATTTTATTCCTACCTCATATGAAAGAAGAGTTGAGACCCTGTTGATGAAATAAACTTTTCCTGTTTTTATGACCTTCATAAAATCATATAATCACTTTCCTTTTTTAGCATTTATAATTTCAATTAGTGCCTTTAGTTAGGAAGATGCACCTGTTTCCCAGATTTAAAGAACTTGGCACATTTTAGTAACAGACTTGTAATACATACTTTAAGCTTTGAAAACTACAGTTAAATAAAAGAAAATATTGGAATTAAACTCTCTTTTTGTCAAGCATTCAGTTTCCATGTTTTCTTTGTATAGATGAAGAAAGACAGTTAAAATATATTTCTCAAGTTGTTTTATTACATCACCTCCTAATTAATCTATCAAAAAAGTGATAGGTAAGCAACTTTTTGTAGATAAACAAAGTGCTCTGTCCAAAGCCATTTATTTAGTAAGCCATTTATTTAAGCCATTTAATTTATTCTTATTGACTAGATGCCTGCTATTATATGAATTTATAATTTCAAATTATATAATACTAAAGTTCTAGACCCAAAGGTGCTTTTTCAAAAGGCAACTGGACTTATTTGCTTTGAACACTAAGCTGGAAATACACATCAGAATGTGAAATATTAGACACTAAACAGGAACGAAAATTTGAAAAAAAACAATTAATGGACAATTCCATGTACAATAACATTAAAGATTTCAAGCTAGGGCTAAAGTTGCATATATTAATACAATATATACAAATATTTGTCCCTCAGCCTCAATATATATATTTTGTCCCTTAGCCTATTTGATTGTACTTTATTGAAAAGTTCTGATGTTAATTCACTCAGTGTTATACTTTCTATATATAGATATAGATGTTTTTCTCACTAACCGCATTAATGATGTACCGGGCCTGTAAATAAAAAACACCAGTGATGATTATGAGAATATATTTTGGTTTTTTATAGTTTTCAAAATCTTAATATATTGCCACCAAGTAAGGCTTCTTCCATTACTTAAGTATACTGTGCAACCACTCCAGTTTTTGTGAGGTTTGTTTAAAAAACAACAACCAATGCAAACACTACTTTAAAAAAGTGAGTCCATTCATAATTCCTACTCACATTTTCATAAACATAACCTGTGGATTATATTACTAAAGCTATGTGGTCCTACCATGTATATAGATGATATTAAAGCTTTTAAAGCTTGCTAATTATGGAAAGCTGATTGAAGTGTATTCTGATTACAATATTAACTGGAATTAACTTAATCCACTAATCTATTTATTTTACTGTATCTGTAGACTATTGTAAGAGATTAAGAATTAACAATTTGTATAATTCTATAAAATACTTGGTTTTTGCATTTTTTCAAAGTTAATCACAATATGTTGCATTAAATACTTTCAAATGTTTGGATGGAGCTTCGAAAACATAATTTGCCAGTTAAAAATACTATTGGGTCTTTTGGATAGGATTAATGTTGCTAAAATGTGTTTTATGTCAAGATTAATATATATTTTAAGAGACATCCAAAATATTAGATATTTCACATATAGTTTAACTTAATTAGATCTTTTTTTTTTACAGCAGGAGATTTGTTTTAAAAAATTGCAGTCACTTTGTAAGGATTTTCAACTATATAATTGGGCTTTTATTTTTATTTATTAGACTACACATTACAATTGTTTTCCTCTTTCCATCCATTTGAAAGGAAATATGTAAAGTCTTTGAATCTCTGCAAGCATTAGGGACTGTGTATTCTAAACTAGAATTTTATTATAATTTGAAAAATGCTAAGCCTATTTGGTTATTTATAGGTAAAAGGCAAGTTTTAATCACAAATTACATATGAAGAGGGCAATGGAATAACTGAATTTTAAAAATAATGGGACAGGTTTTCAGTCGGAATGTTTGGGCTAACAAGGGATTAACATTTTAAATCAGCTGATTCTTAATAGTTGGTTTAAAGTTTTCAGGTCTAATTTGCTTTCAATATACACATGATAATGTATGCAACTGAAACAGGTATTAACTAAACTGCACGGCTTAGGTCCGTGATGGTGAACCTATGCCATCAACTCCAGCACGCATCAGCCAGCTGATTTTCAGCCTTCCAGAGGGCTGGGGGACGCCGTTTTCAACCTCCACAGGCTTCAGGAAAGTCTACCGGAAGTTCAGAAACAATCCGTTTCCAGCTGCCGGAGGGCCTGTGGGGGGGAGAAGCTTTCCTGGAGCCTGTGGATGGTGAAAATGCCCCCCTCGGGCTCCCCAGAGGAAATGCCAAGCTCAGCTTGGAGGTGAGCAGTGCGTGTGGGGAGAAGTGTGTGTGGGATTCTACATGCATACGCATGCGGGGGTGCACTTTGCATTATGGGTGCCGGCATGCATGCATGCAATGACATGCATGCACTTGCATTTTTGTCACCCAACAACAAAAAGGTTAGCATCACTGGCCTAGGAGCTTTAACATGCTCTGGGTCACTTGCAACTTTGGTTTCTTTCAGAGAGGCTGCACTTTAACAGAAACTCACAATCTTTTTAAAAATTATTAAAAATTCAAATGAAAGGTAAAATCAATTATTTATCTGCTCTGTTGCAGAAAGAGTTGGAATAGTAAATTTTGGAAAATCAATCGATTATTTCAGGAAAATACTTTTTTGAAAAAAAATGTTTGTTTTGAGGCATGGCAAGTGGTCTTTGAGAACACTAAAAGCTCTTTAAAAACTTACAAAATGTATATTAATAAACTAGATCAACTTTTTGTGGAATTCAAAATTATAATAACACAGTAGTCTGAGTGGAGACTAATCTGTCAATGTCCTATATATTTTATTTCACAGTTGTGACTGCAATTAACTCCCAAATGGCATCTGTTAATTTTTGTGAATAGTTTAATTTCAGAATGAAGTATTTCATGAACAGTCTTTGATACATCAAATCAAATCAAATCAAATTAATCTTTATTACAGATTTAGTCCAAGATGTATCAATTAGTATGATAGGGAGGGTTTTTGATATCTTTTTCCTTAAAATTTGATTCAGTAAATCAGGGAAAAATATTTATTGCCATGTTAAATTATTTGAGATTATTATTAGAAAAGAACATTCGGGAAACACAGTTTGCTCAAAATGTCAAGATTGTTGAACATCAGTGTCTTAAGCTGAGTTGTCCTTAAAAAGAAAAAGTCCTGATTAGACTGAACATCAGCTGCGAAACAAAGAAACAGAATCAATAGTAATTATCCAAGTGGATAAGAGTGGAAGACAAATAAAAAGTATGCAGTGAAATTTAGAAGAATTAGAACTACTGATAAAAAAAAACTAGAAGTTTCATATACCAAGCCACTGGGTAAACATGACTATCACAAAGAGATCTTGCAGTAAATCATTTTATTATATTCTTGTTTTGTAACACTAATGGCATTAAACTTACAAAAAAAAACAATACTCCTACTCCAGATCAATTCCAATTTTATCCATTGTAATCCAGAACAGAGTAAAATATACAAGAGTGGTAAAAAAAGAAAAGAAATACAGATGTACATATCCTGACTTGTTCAAAAACCTTGCTGAGAAAGCACAGTCATAAGGTGAATCCTTTATGCTATGAAGCAAAACGTGAATTTAAGAATCAGCTAAAGGAATTGAAATGTAAAATTAATGTGAATTAATAGAAGCTGAAATAAATGGGAGTAAATGTGACAGCGTAGAAGAACGTGTTCGATCTCATCCAGTTCACAAAGGCAAAACCCCTGAGAGATTTTACAAAACTAGCATTGTAAAAGAGCCAATGGTAAAATACCAAACCAGAATTCAAGTATGCTCCTAATGTTTGGGAGATTTAGACAAATACATATAAATTGCTGGACTAGAGCTTTAGGAATTCCTGAATAGTAAATGCATCTCTGAGGTTTGACTCCATTCATTTTCAATACTGAATGTACGGAACCCACCACCCTTTTATTTTATTTTTAGCAAAATGGTTGCTTTGACTCAGCTCAGAAATGTAATTATATCTTAAACAAAAAGAAGAAAATGCAGATAAAATTCAAATGACAGGCAAGCCTTAATGTGATAGTATGTGATAGTGAATGACATTCATAAATAAATACAATTAATAGAAGAGGGATATAAGCATGAAAAACAAAATATTCTTGACAACTCTGCACTGGCTTTAAGATTCTGATTCCATAATATGAGCTCATTCATAATAAATGAGTAATTTAATGGGTTAGTTGGCAACCTAGTCATACATATTTGCAAATGAGATTTTAGGAATAATCCAAGAAATAAACTATAAAGGAACAGGCATCATCATCTGTTCTCCAGATGGTTTGGGCTATAATTCCATCACTTGCTGCCCAGGGCTGATGGAAATTGTAATTCCAAACATTAGAAATATACTTGGTTGTACAATCTGGTTTTGTAAGAACAATATTCTTGTTTAGATGACCTACCTAATCTGTGACTGTTCTGCAATATGGATGAATTTGAAGAGTAACTAATCAAGAAATATTCATATGAAAATGAATGGAATTATGTTAACTAACTTTGGTGAGAATAAAAGCATTCTCTGAATTTATAATTACACAGAATTGAATTTGCTATAAATCAGAGGACGATCTATTTATTCCTTTTTTTTCCTTCAGTACAATATGTTATGTACAATTTTAATACTTTTTGCAACCTTAATTTCCTCTGTTCAAGAGCTATATTGCACAGAACTTTTTTTAAAATATGGATATTAGCATACAATTATTTTACATTTCCTGATTCATATGAACACCTATCTATCTATATAAAAATAACTGTGTGTGTGTGTGTGTGTGTGTGTGTGTGTGTGTGTGTGTGTGTGTATTCCAGCATAACTCTGGAACGCCTCAAGCAATTTCAACCAAACTTGGTACACACATGACTTACTCTCTGGAAACAAATACTGTGGGGGGGTAAGACACCCCTAACACCTCTCAGGCTGTGTGTTCTGTTAAGATACAGCCCGTTGTGCCTTAAAATGGCTTCTACTGTACTGCTGTAAAATGACTTCTACTTTACAGTGCAGTGGAGTTCCCATGGTAACGTCTTCACAGTACTACACAAGGGGGCTCCCTCTGGTAAAGGGAAAATTATGTTTGATTATTTTCGAGGACAAATGTATGGATTAGGATAAATAAATACCCAGGCAATGCCGGGTTATCAATTAGTTAAAAATAAATTGAAGAAATTTCTTTTTCCTTTAAATTTGTGTGAATAATATGAATTAGAAAAAGGGTGTACTCCATTAATGATATCAGACTAGTTTTGGCTGGCTCTAATTTGACTGAGTGGTATGTGAAGAGAGCTACAGATAGTTTATTAGTAGTTTAAATTGAGACATGGACGGTTCCTCCTGTGCTGGATTTCAGAAAGGCCATCACAATTTAGATTCTTCAGCAGACCTTTGGGCTAAGAAAGTGAGCTGTGCTTTCTGTACAGTAATGTGGATTATAAATAATAAACATAAAGTTTATCTCTGCAAAATTGTTATCTGTGTAGAAAACTTTTTGTGTATATATGATAGCTTATGTAAGCCACTCACAGTTGGTTTCAACTGAAGTGACAGATCAGTTGCATAAAAGCGCTGCAAAGAAATATTAAATTTGATCCTCTGCCAAGAAAATAATAACATTCAAGCTAACAATTAAAATAGTAGTTAAAAAGCAGACTAACCCTTGTCCGCCTCTTTGAATTATTTCGCACATAAAACTGATGAATTGTATTAAAATCTGATCTAGTGGTTTGGTCTAGTGATTAAGCACCAAATTGGAAACTGTGAGAATGTGAGTTCTAGTCCTGCCTTAGGTGGAGAAACTGGCTGGATGATTTGGAGCAATCATTCAACCCAACTCAGTTCACAGGTTTGTAGTTGTGGAAAAAAAAGGAGGAGTAAGGAGTAGTAGGCCTTGAATTACTTATAAATAAAATATAATTTAAACCATGATTTTTTTTTAAAAAAAGAATAAGTTATCTGTGATTGTGAGTTTCTTTAATACAATTCTGACTTCAGGCTAGGACACCATTTAGTTGTCAGAAGCCCTTTTTGCAATGAAAAATTCATCAAATGCATCCTAAGTATTATTGAATAAAAGGGAAAACATTTCTAAACTAAATTATTTCATTAAATAAAATCTCATGAAACTCATGAATATTTTATCCAATCCTCTGAATGTGCATTTATATCTTGTTTTTTTCTTGATAAAGGTAGCAAAGCACAGCTAGGTTTCCATGAATGTTGCATTACAACTTTTGCTTTGATGTGCAAGTAAGAAGTGAGTTGCATCAATTTTTTTTTAAAAAAATATGTGTTTGCAAAAAAAAAAAAAAAGATATTTCAATGCATTTGCTAATGCTCCTGTTATAGATGGTTTATCCAGTCCTGATACCTGATTTAAATTTATTAATAAATATTTTGCATTGTGTCTTGCTGTGTGTAGCAACCGTAATGCCTGCTTTTCTTTTTAGAGTTAAGGTGACAGCTAGCTTTAGCTCTGCTAATTTAAATGCAAATTTCAGCACTGGGGGATATTTATCAAAATTGCAATGTCTGGGGTAGTGAAACTAATGATTCAATTCTGCATATTACTAAAACATCCATTTGTTCAGGTCTTGAATTTAAATGCTGCTGTTAATTATGGCTACTTGGAGTCTTACGGGTAGATTATGAATGGAGAACCTGGGGACAGTGTCCTAAATAGATTCGTTTCAAACCAGTTGTTTAATCCAAAACAATAAATATGTTTTATTTATCTATACTGAATACATAAATAGGATAAACAAATTTAGTTTCTTTATTTTGACTGTGGTCTATTGGCAATTTAAAATTGCCAATTCTAACCTGATGCATCAATTGACATTTGTGCATATATATTCTCTGACCTGACTTGGCTCAAGGGAGTCCTACAAAAAACTCAGAAATATTTCAGCCTAGTGTCCCAAAGGTGCTTTTTCAAGAGGCAACTGGACTTTCTGTTTTTTCTTTGAAGATACTTCACTTCTCTTGGATGAGAAACAAAATGTTTTCAAAGGAAATCCAGTTGCCTCTTGGAAAGACACCTCTGGGATAACCATGACCTGAATGGCTGAATCTCCATAGACATTTCAGCCTGCTCTACGCCAAATTATGATTTTGCTTATAGCATGAATAAAACTGTGTTAGGTACCTTCTGGGAAGTCCTACACGAAATTTTCAAAAGTTCCATACTGGAATTTCAGAAACTAGAGAGTTCCATTCTAGTTTTAGTGAAACCCATTGACACTGCTTGCTTTGCACTCCAAATTTGTCCCTAAATATTTAATAGTGATTATTATTTATGTAGTAATGTCTGTATTATCAGAATATGACAAAAAAACTTTGACACCATCCTTTCCTGGTAAATCTATATATCTATCCATATCATCTATATCTATATATCTATATATCTATCTAACTATATAACTAACTAACTATAACTAACTAACTAACTAACTAACTATCATCTATCTATCTAGCCAACTACCACTCACTCATCACGTAATCTCAGAACAGTAAAGCCTATAAACTTGAAATTTGACACATATGTTCCTCATTGCTTCTAGGTGCTCACTAAGAAAGGATTTTTTGAAATGACCATCAGATCATCAGTATTCCTTATACAGTATTATATATACTTTATATATGCTAAGGAGTTAGATATTCTTCTCCCCCACCTAGACTGGGCATGGGCGTGGCCAGCGCATGATTAATCCGGCCTGCAGGATTTACATGTCAATTTATCAAGCCCGATCACATAGTTTCATAGAGAAGCACAGGTGTCTAGCTAGTTACTCATAAATCACAACTTACTTTAGTCCACAGTCTTGAAGGAAGTCAAACCTCCATAATAAATTTTACTGACCTTATCTGAACTCTACCCATTAGTAAAATCAACTATTTATATGCAACATAAACATTCCAATAAGCCTAACCTATACAATTTGACAATGAGCTTCTGATTTTTAAGTAGGTTAGGTAGATTAGCTAAACACATACCGTTTTGCTCTCTTTGAACTCCAGCAGCAAGTAGATCAGGTTCACCAAGGCTTATATCATTAAGTCTAGTTCCAAGACATTCTATGCAAAGATGTTTGCACCACTCTTCTGCCTCAAGCTCTGAAAGACAAAAAAAAAATGCACCAGGAATCTTATTAATAGAATAAAATTATTCACAGGGATTGTGGAATAAATCAAGTACAATAAGTTGTTAATGATGAATGTGAGAAGAGGCTGCAAAAAAAAATCAAGGAAAAGAAAACACAACTGGGTGTCAGAGAAGATGGTGGGAAGCCAAAGCCAAGAAAATAAAAGATTTTAGAAAGGAACTTGACAAAGAATTTCAGTGAGCTATTAGAATAAATAAGATTCAGTGATATAGCTACATCTCCACTAGTTTTCAAAAGAATTCTCTATATTCAGGAAGTTTCAATCTCAAAATGGTGTAGTAAAGGATTTTTTTTTTACTTTTTGTAAATGTGTTTTTTATTTTCCATTTTCATTTTCGTACAGTCACATATATACTATGCATAACCGGGGTGATATAACATTAAACAATAAACACAGCCATTCCTCTTGTCAACAAAACCCCCCAAAATAAAGATCCAATGTACCTCTTTGACCCTCCATACACCCTTTCTTTCGCCCCCCTCCAACTTTCCATCTTCCCTCCATCCTTCCCCTCTATCCTACTTCCTCTCCCCCTCTACGATATTTGAACACCCTTTAACTCATATGATTTAGTCACGTGTTCAGGTTTTTCCATTTTTATTGAACAGACAATATTGTGAATAGAGTTTTAGTAAAGAAGTTAAAATTTAGGGATAAAATGGTTAGATAATAATTGGGATGGGAAGAATAGAAGAACTCTGGATTGACTATGCCTGGAAAATTGCAAAGAAGATCTTAGAAAATGATTTGGTCTGTTATCAAAGGCTGGCTTGGCAAAACACAAATATTTAATGATAAGATTCAATGACAATAAAATGTAATTAGTATTTTAAAAGTTGAATTATTACCCTTTTCAATACATATGATTGTTTATTTTATTCAGTTACTTTTTTGTTTCTTCTACTCATATGTCTAGGTTTCATTTTGTTATTGGATTAAACAGTTCACACAAGAAAATAAAATAAAATGAATTATTGTTGGGGACTAAACCCCAAATTTTAATATCAGATAAATTTTAGCATAAATGCATTTAACTTTATTATATTTAAAATAACATTAAATATAATTAGTACAACCACTTTACTATTCATTTAAACATATTAAATGTACAAGTCATTGCTGCAAATCAGATTTAGATTTCTGTCTTCTACTTTTGAATAATTCTTTTAATCAAATAACTTACAATTCTTTGTATGTATCAAGATGTCTTGATACATTTCAAATACTATGGTTATAGTCAAAATATAAAACTTCCCAAAAATCTCAATCAAAAACCTCCTAAAAATGTACATAAAACTCTCCATAGTAAATGTTTTCTCACCATAAAAAGCAATTATAATTGTAAAAACCTTGTCTATTTTGAGAAAGATGCAAAAAATATTATAGCACTGATGGATCTTCTCCATCATTTCCACAAACAGAATACCTGGAACAAAGTTTATTGGGAGGAATTTGAAGATGCAATAAAAGCAGATGAAACACTTGCTTCATCATGCTTTTTACCATCATGTAGTGAGAAATCCATCTCCTTACCAACATTTGGTTATTTTCAATGTGATTTACCCACCACCATTAATCTAGGAATCTTTTCATTTGCTTCATTTCTTGGAGCTCCTTTGAAAACCTGCTTTTCCCTGCTTGGCAATCTACTAGAGCTCAAACAGGTACAAAACAGAGCTTCATTGCTTATCACTGGTACATTTGCAAGCACACTCAGGAAACCATCAAGATTCATCAGTTCCTCTGATGGATTATTATAAAGTTCTTTGCCATTTCAGAGATCCCAGATGCTGACAATGTGTAGCTAGATTTTTTTTAAAAAAATCTGTTCTTAGATGATAAAGGACAAAACTATAAGCTGCCCAGAGTCAACTTATAGGGTAGACGGGCAGCATAAAAATTAATAAGTAAATAAACATACACGTCTTCCATATTGTTCCATATCCTCAAAAGTAGAAATCCAGAATGTGGAAAATTGGAAAAGAGGAATGTTACTGAACGAAGGCATGTTATAAGAAAGGGTACTCAATCTTGGGGAATGTATAATGATGGCAAAATTTACACACATATTCACAACAGAAGTTTAACCCAATTTAAGCAACAATGGCTTTGATATTATATATATATATATATATATATA